GGTATAAATATTAATTAGCAAAAAGTTCAGGTCTCCCTTTATTTTGCTTCCAAGTCATTTATTTTAAATTTAATTTTTTTTACTCAAACTTCCTTCTTAAAATTATACACCTGTGTGTGTTATAGGCCGATAAATACGCTAATTTTTTAAAAGATGTCTTTCACTCTGTGAAAGATCACAGAGAATATTATATAGTACAATTGTTGGTTCTGGCCAAAGTTCTAGGAAATAGAATAGACTACTATCTTGCCAGAATTGCACCTCCAAAGCAATCACCTTCTTACATAGCTGCGTCTATTCTGGATTTTAGCTGAAACATCCTTGCAGGTACATGAAAAAATATGTCTCCATTATTATAAGAAGAAGAGAGGCATGAACTAACCTCTGGGCTGAGAGGGAAAGTAATCCTATAGCAGAAGTCTTCTTGGTCCTTTGTTAATATTCCTGAAGTTTATCTCAGTAGGATGGGAGAGGCTCTTTTTTCTCTTTTGATCTCTTTCCGACGTGCTGTTATCCCATCAGACTTGCCAAGCTGATATTCTTAGAGATTATTGCTCCCAGTTACATCTAAGGGCCACTTGGAAGGAGGAAGTTGGTAACTGTAGTACAACACAGCAGGAGGAAAATGGGGAAGATTGCCCTAAATAAAGGCTAGGTGCTTTTTCACTGGTAAAACAAATAAAATGTTTCACCAGATGAATGGAAAACTAGCATACATAGGCTGTTGTAATAGTATAAACCATTAAAAATATAGCAGTTCTAAAAATTATAAATTGCTAAGATGCATCTAGATCGAACAATTTCTAGAGACAAGTGTACTTTATATCAGTCTTTGATTTTTGTGGGCCATACCTGTCCATTTTGACTATTTCACAAAATTGTGAATTCTCCTGCCCATACAAAGCTCTCTCTCTGCTAAAGCAGGACAGGCATCTCAGAAGTTTTATGCAGTTGCGTGTAACCCAGTCACCTGAGATTGCACTACTGAATTTGGCAAAATTGGTAAATGACAACGGTACATTCCCCCATACTTCTCCACTACCCCCAAATAATGATAGGGATGGTAGTGGGAAGCAAGCTAGTCCCAGTCCAATTTTAACAAACCTCAAATCCTTGTAAAGTATATCCATCACGTCACTGTAAGACCTCCTTTACAAGTTACCTGCTCTAAAGCCAAAGTAACATCTTGGTAGATTGAAGGAGATTGAAATATTTACACTGTACATGTATTCAAGCCCCTGCCTATTCTTTATGGCCTTTGACACAAATTTAAAATTGGCTCAGTAGGTTGATTGAGAATATTCTCCTATTACTACCAGATCAATCTCCATAAATACCTAGAAAGTTATCCAGTTTCTAAGGTTCTAAGGTTTCAATTTCATTGGCGGATCTTTGGCCATAAAGTTTATACTATAGGAATGTGGAAAATGTCTCAGTCCAGGAATAGATATTCTTGAGAACTCTGGAAGATTCTGTTTCACTCTGGATCATGCCAAATGTCCTCTTCCCCCCTGCCATTCCAGGGATAGTTCAACAGTTTCATGAAACAAATCCTCAGAACCTGAAGTGGTTTGAGATGTTCTGTTCCATTTCCAGATCAACACTTATTGCACATCCCTGTTATACTATATTTTGGTGGCATACATGAAAGCAGGATAGGAAGATTGTTTTTAAGGAAATGGATAGAATGAAACAATGTATAATTTTAGAAAACTTCTATAACATATAAAAGAGCCTTTGTTTTTGTGTTTTTCCCCATTGTGGATACATCTGCAGGAATTTTAATGTGGGAAGTCTTCACTTTGGGGAAGGAGCCCTATGGTCGATATGATAATATACAAGTGGCTGAAAAGATAGGTCGTGGTTATCGGCTTTATCGCCCAAAATTGGCTTCTACAGCAATCTATCGAATAATGCACAGCTGCTGGCATGAGGTAGGTGCGTTGGTCCATTTGGGGTTTAGGGTAGGAATTATCCATCCACATTCTTTGGTGGAGAACTTTAAAAGGCCTTTTCTACCCATTTCTAATATATTTATATAACTTATATTTCATTTTATATTTCTATAAATCCTACTTGTGGAACAATGTATTGGAAAACATCCTGCATACAGTAAAATAATATAAAAATGACAAGTTCTGATCTTACTGAATTCTCTTTTTTATGCAGCTGCCAGAAAAACGACCCACCTTTCACCATCTGCTTTCACTCCTGGAAGCACACAGGAAAAGTGACAAACCTGGGAAACGAGTTCATCTTAAATGGTGCTTCCTTTCTCCTCTTTTTGTTCTCAAGAACGCTTATTCTAGGGCCATCTGCTTGAAAAACAGATTACATCCTCTGTAATGTAGATTACATCCCCTACATTACAGGGGATGTAAGCAGTAAAACAGCTGAAATATTGTTTTGCACATTGCACACTGAAATGTTATTTGCTTTTTAAAGATTTTGTATTTAAATTAGGTATGTTTTTGTTTTGTTTTCAGATTAAGCATGAATAGTGGTACTGAAGGAGGCAGGAAAGTCTCCACTGGACAGCAGAAAGCAGTGAAGAAAGAGGTTTAGTCACAGCGGGTATCAAACTACTACTGATATCATCCCTATTATACAGTTTTGAAGCAGCCCTTGAAATTGTTGGGTTATAAATTTTCTGTAATCTATATCAGTGCAACATCATCATTTATTAGACCAACTCAAGTCACAATAATCTGAAAACTTTTGAATTCTCAAACGCTTCATCAGGAACAATTGCACCATTTTTTTTTATCTGAGTTGTCTAACACATTTATTTCCCACATGTGAATTATGGAATTTCTTTTAGTCAACATAATTAACTTTTTTTTTTTTTGCATGTTTGTTCTGGTTTGTTTGTTCATTTAAGTATAATCCTGAAACTTTTAGAAATCGGGGGGGGGGGGGGCTTTTTTACTCCCATGGGTTAATAAAATACTTTGCTATTTTTCTTTTCAATTATGTCTTCAGCAAAGAATATATAACAAAAGAAAAATCTTATAATTGGGAAATAAAGTGAACTACAAAACAGGGTTCCAAAGTTTATGCAGTTGGTGTCAGATTTTTTTTTAGGGGTGCTTAAAGTTTACTTACACAATATTAATATCTGGGTGGGAAAAAGGAATATCTTTTTAGCATCAGCTTTTAGTAAGAATACAACAGCGAAGTTGAAAGCAAGAACTTACAGTAGACAACATAATAGTAATAATGCAAACCTGGGAAGGATTGTTAGTTTACAGAAAAACTCCAAAAGGTTCTAGACAGGCTTGAGCAGCGGGCTGAAGTGAATAAAATGGAATTTAACAGGGAAACACATGAAGTTTGGCAAATGGGTAGGAAAAATGAAAGGCACAAATATAAGACGGGGAAGATCTGGCTCTTACAGTAATACATGTGAAAACAGACTGGCCCAGCTGAGCATGAGCCAGCAGTGTGAAGGAGCTGCTAAAAAAGGCAAATTCTACTTTGAGGTATATTAGTTGGAGCATAGGGGAAGTTGTTCCACAATACCTGGCCTTGGTCAGACCCCACTTGGAATATTGTGTCCATCTCTGGGCACCACAGTTCAAAAAGGACAGTGACAAATTGAAATGAGTTCAGAGAACAGCTGCCAAGATGGTGAAGGGTCTGGAAGACAAGCCCTATGAGGAATGGTTGAAGGATTTGGTGTGTTTGGCCTAAAGAAAGTTGACTGAGGGGAGATATGGTAGTAATTTTCGAATATCTGAAAAAGTTGTCACATAAAGAAGATCATGACCTATCTATTGCCCCAGAGGGCATGATCAGAACCAATGGAACCTACATGGAAGTAAGTTCAGACTATACATGAAGAGGAATTTCCTGATAGAACAAGCATTCAGCCAATGAAACAGACTGCCACATGAAGTGGTGAGTGCTCCTTCACTGACAATCTTCTTCAACTAGATGGTCATCTATCAAAGCTGCCCTAGATGCATTGAACAGGGATTTGACTAGATAATCTCTGAGATCTCTTTCAGCTGTATGATTCTGTGAACTGAGAAGCTTGAAGACTGTTTCAAGGATTTTTTTTTACCATATGTGTTTTTATAAGTGACACCTCTATATTATGTCTGATGAGGCAAATAGCAACTTTGTATGGAGGTGTGTGATTATAATCAGACAAAAGGCATAGTAGTCTTGGGGGGGGGGGAAGACAAGTACACAGTTTTGATCCAGAGATGACAACACACAACTGCTTTATTAAAAAAAAAAAAATTGGGAAAGATTAACTGGAGGCCATGGAGGAATTCAGGTTGAATTCTATGCAATAAGGTAATGAGTTAAATGAATTCAGCAGTGCTCCACAAATCTATTTCTGCTTTACAGATCCTTTATTTTTAGCATTATCTGTATTAATGTGTCCCTTCAATGTCAGATTGTTGGCCGCAAACATGCAGAGATCCATAGGGCACACCAATTTACTTGGTTGGCTTTTATAAAGTTGTTAAGGCAGCTTCATCCTGTTGAAATGCTGAATTGCTTTCTCCACATTCCTCATTAACAGCAGTTTCAATGGCCTCAGTTTGTGCTGTCCGTTTTTTCCTGCACATAAAAATAATAAATTGACTAGTATTTAACTATTAAAAAACTATCAGCATTTGCACAGAAAACATACTGCTTTTCTAGTAAAGTTCTACTTAATATCAGCCTTGAGAAACAACTGAGATATAGTAGGTATTGGTTAGAAGCACTGGTGATACATATGAACTGAAGACGGGCCAGATCAAAACTATGTTTTGTTATATTTCCATCTCTTCTATTGTACAAAATGAACCTTTATCGATTTAAGTGTACAGTATCCATAAATGCCACTTACTTTTTTCGATCTTTCTGTCCAATAATGATCAAGGTGACGATTCCAATCACTACAATACCAATCACAACTCCAAATACTACAAGCCACACAGTGATGGGTGATTCATAAGGTGGTGCCAATGTTGGTAAGATGTCAATAAATTCCAAAGTTTGATCATTCAGTTTGAAAGCTTCATTGATACGTCCCCGAGACAGTCTGCAAATGGAGTGGAAATTTTTCTTTAAAACGTTTCCAGGCATTCTACTAAAGTGTTTACTGAAATTGTAAAGCGAGCCTGCTGTGATATGTGTTAACAAGTATTGAGTGCTTGCCCTGCCTGCCTGCCTGCCTGCCTTCCATTTTATTTATGTCTCAGATTTTCTGCTATTTAGTTTGGCTTTTTCCATTTTATCAGTAAGTATAAAGTTATACATTCACTATTTTTGGAAGCCCCATTGACAATTTTCATCTTCCCTGTAGTACACTTAAATGTTTCTAGACTTTTAAACTTTTTTAAAGCAATCAAAGACACATTTTCTTATTTGATTTGCCTTGTAATTCAGTTTTTGTTTTCCAGCCTTATGTTGCATTCATTATAATTTATTTCACATAAGTTTTATGTGATCGCAGTCTAACACTTCAATACTTTGTCAGCTTACTTTGATGCAAGCTGTATTGAATTTGGGGGTGAGGTGTTGATATGTAGTAGAAAATTGTTAGATTTAATCTTAGTATTAACATTTAATGTCATTAGACTGAATGCTGATGTTCTATGACCATAATAAAGATTTAAGATGATGATTATTATATACATGACTTGAAATTGGAAATGGGCTATTTTTGTTGACTTTCTCACTCTTATTTCACCCCCCAAAAATTTCATACTCTGTATGTGCTATATGAACTGATTATCAATTTCTGGGGTTTTATTATCCTTTTATTGTTCCAGTGATGTTGATCAACTTATCAACATCAATATTACCAGGTTTTTTTCATGTCTGAACCTGGTTATTCATACAAAGCATGATAATTTAATGTTGCTTATGTGCCAATTTATCCACTTACTCATACAATCTTTGCACTCTATTTTCCTGCATTTAAGAAAAAAAACTAACTCTTTTTTTGGACTGAATACAGCTCCTGGTGACTTCATTAATACATCCATGCAGTTTTCTTGAAAATAACACAGAAGTGATTTACTACCATGATTCTTCTGGGAAGTGTTCTGACTTCTCAATCTTAAACTTATAGCCCTAGTATTCCCTGGAGATCTCCCATCCAAGCACATATCACTCTGCCCCAGTTGATTTGTTTTCAGTCCAAAATTTCACCTGATTGCATCTTCCACTTCAGATTTAGGAACCAAATCTGAGACATTGTTTGGCATGCTGACTGTAAAATAAAAGGAGATCCTCTGTGTCACATCACTCACATGAACATCGTCTGTTCTGGTAGGGGAGAAAATTGTATTGATTAGAAATATTCAGGCTTAAAACCATCTGTGTTAATTTTAGATACAAATTATATGCTAACAAAGTGATCCCTATTTTTGTCAGTGGTATATGTGCATTGCAAACATTGACTAATAGATGCGCATATTTGCAAAAGAGTGGAGAAAGAAGCTCAAATAGCTATCAACCCAAAAGTGCATATTTAATCTTTTATGAAATATCCAATGTGAGTCAAAATAAATGGGAACTAGTTACTAAAATTAGCTTAGTATTCTCTACACAGGAAATAAGAACTTTTCTTCCAGGAACAAATTTCTTGTGTCTCTGCTTCTGGCAGCCTTACACAAATGATTGGAAAGGCTAAAGCAACATACTGTTCCACTCACAAATATCTTTATATCACATATTTCTCTCTCTTATCTTGTTGCCACCTCCTCACTCCAGTTTTCTTGACAATATTTTCCACTTTTCTCCTCTTTCTTTTTCTCTCTGCATGCTTTCCTCCTTTTCCATTGCTCAACTGAGCCATATGAAACAGTCTAGGGGTATGAAAAATAGAGCTCAGCTGGTGGTGTGGGCGGAGAGAATTTACTCTTTTCTCTCCTGTTTGCAAAAGACAACTAATAAGAATCTGAGAGGGAAGATCTGATAGGTCACAGATAAAGATTCCCTGCTCCTGATTTACTGATTTAGATGTATTTATCAGTCTTGTATACAGACATCTTTCAGAAACAACTCTTGGCAGGTTAGCTGTATAACAATACAATACAGATGCAATAAAACTTATATAGTAAGCCAAAAACTCAGTCCAATCCAATTCAATTAAAAAATCCCAATAAAGTAATAGTAAAAATTAAAACAATATCTAAAACAATCATCATAATAGCCAAATAGCATCATCAGCTAAAAAAAGCTCTTTGAAGGGCTCCATCTTAACTTGCTTCCAGATCAACGATGGGGCCAATCTAATTTCTAGGATGAGACTGTTCCATTGAACCTAGTCCATAATGGAGAAACAAACCACTTGATCTTAGTTCCCTGACCTAACAAATGTGGGGAATCACTGTAAGCCTGTCTTAGGATGAATGTATTGGACAGACTGTATCTAGCTAGAGAAGGCAAACCTGTAAGTATCTCAGTTCCAAGCTATACAGGGGTTCATAGGTTAAAACCAGCACTTTGAATTGCATACACAACCCTATTAGCAGGGCCTGCAGTACAGGTTTATGAACTTGGCAGCTTCAGCCAGCTAATAAGCAGCTGCTATACTCTGTACCAAATGTATATTTTGAATGGTTTTCAAAAGTAGCCCCACAGGGACAACACTGCAGTAGCTCAACAAAGTAGTGATGAGGGTATGAGTTACAGTGACAAGATCTTCTCCCTCCAAGTAGGGCTGCAACTGGCACACTAGTTAAAGTGGGGCAAAGGCCTTGCTAGTCACAGTGTCCATGTGCCCATCCAGCAGTGGCTGTGTGTCTAGGAGGATACCCATATCTCAGACATGCTTCCCCATAAAAAAAGAGAAGTTCCATCCAATACATTTATCCCAGGACAAGCTCTTCGTTGTTCCCTACTTTACTCTTAAGTAAGGGGATGAAAAGCCAGAAGATGTTGTTTTTCTGTTGCAGCCTGGCTCCAGGGAATAGAATTTTTATAATTAATAATGCTTAATAATTAACTAAGCCTTCAAAATTAAGGCTTACCCCATCTATTACACTGTTCCAGAAATTACTTAAGATAGGGCTGAAGACAGAGGGCTCTGTGGTTAGTATGTCTTCATCATCTTTATTATTACTAGTTTTTATTACTGCTATTATTGGTAATGGATAATAACTATTGCATCTGTTTTTATGATATTAATTTTTACCATGGATATTTTTATTATTAAAGATATATTATGGATGTTTTAATTGTTGACTGTTACTGCAAACTACTATGTTTCTGCACTGGATTAAGTGGAACGTAAGTGGAATGTAAATACACACATACTGTACATATATATATTTTAAAATCTAAAAGTAATCACATATGAGTGGTCTCTGCAAGAGAAGAAAGGCAAGAGGAAGGTCACGGCAGTGCAATTGAAGCCTTTCCCCTTTTGGATTTGCACCAATGTTGCACATCCATAAAGGGGCGGGGCTTTGATTGTGCTGCCATTGCTGTTATCTTGCCTTGTTTGATCCCCACCTGCAGATACCAATGTCACGTATATACTATAAAAAAATCCTCTTCAAAGATAAAAGGAGGAAGACACTTACTGAAATAGTACGGTTTGATTCTTGATGTCTAAAAAGTACTTCTGCATAGCATAGGCGATTGTTGATTTGAATAAATACATTTCACTCTCGTCCCATTTGTACTGTAAATTCAAAGTGACAATTAGACGGGCAGTTGCATCTTTAGATAAAAGGTCCCTTGGAAGTACTTTTCAAACAAATTACCTACACCTTACTGGGAACATCTCTGTATACATGATTTTATCTATGTAACTGAACAGGTAATTGAATTCAGATGCAATGTTAGGATCTCTACAAATATAAAGTCAGCAATATAGAGTCAGCCTTCAAGCTATTCTGTGGTCACAGGGATTCCCCCTTTCCCCTTCCTCCAATGCAAGTGAATGAAGTTATTACCATTAATGAGAAAAAGTTTCCTGTGTCAAAAATTAGCTGAATCTCTACAAATATAAAGTCAGCAATATAGAGTCAGCCTTCAAGCTATTCTGTGGTCACAGGGATTCCCCCTTTCCCCTTCCTCCAATGCAAGTGAATGAAGTTATTACCATTAATGAGAAAAAGTTTCCTGTGTCAAAAATTAGCTGAAGAAGAACAGAAGCCAACCCACCACCAAGGATCCCCCATCCCACTTCAGCCAATATTCAGCAGGGATTGTTACCCACCACTTCCCTATCAACTGAGGTATTTGATCTTAACATCTCCCATAACATCCTAGTAGAAAAGATGGTAAAATATGGAGTGAACACAGTGTATATCATTGGCTCCACATCATGCTGGAACAAAGTACTGATGACATACTGTAGGGCTCCATTCAACATGTTTATAAATTGGATGAGGGTTATAAAATATGCTTATCACATTTATGGATGACACAAAGATAGGGAAGGAAGCAAACGTCTTAGAAGACAAAATCAAGGTTCAGGCTGGGATCATGTATAAAAACCAACAAGAGAAATTGCAACAGGGCAAATGCAAAGTCATTCATTTGGGTAGGAAAAATCAAAAATATCAGTATAGGTCTGCGGAGACCATACTGGGCAGAAACACATGCCAACATGAGTATCTTGTTGAATCATAAACTGATTATGAGCCAATATGTCGTGTAAATGTAATTTTAAGGTGGATCAGCTGAAGCATAGTGTCAATATTAAGAAAAGTAATTGTTTCCTTCTATGTCAGTCAGACCACACATAGAATATTATGTCCAGTTCTGGGCACTGTATTTTAAGGCAGACATTGAGAAACTGGAGCATGATCAGAGAGCAAGCAGATGATAAGAACCCCGCAAATAAAAAACTTATGAAGAATGATTGAGGGCATTAGCACATTTAACTTAGAAAAGAGAAGCCTGTTGGCTGACATAATAGCTGTCTTGAAATATCTGAAGGACTATGCTGTAGAAGATGGGGCAGAATTGTCCAGAGTTGTTCTCCAGTGTTTCTGAGGGTAGGACAATATCAATCAATCAATCAATCAATCAATCAATCAGTGGGTGGATATTTTTAAGATGGCGATCCAAACTTGACGTAAGGAGGAATTTCCTGACAGTAAGAACTGTGGAACAGCCTGCCTCCTGGAGTCATGAGTATTCCATCACTGGAGATTTCCAAACAAAGGCTGAACAGCCATTTATCTGGGATGGTATGAAGATTTCTTCCCTGACCAGGGATTTAGATTGCAAGACTGCCCCCCGCCCCGGGTCCCTTCCAGCCCTAAGACTCTTTTATGTTTTTTTAAAATTATATTAAATTAATTTTAATGTTATATAGCAGTTTTGACTTGTTTCCTATCCAAATAAAGGCAACTTTTCAGAAGTAAAGGTAGAAGAGACTCTGCAGGGTCCCCCCAAGGGGCCTTGCAGACTATAAATGGTCCTAGGACCTCAAGATAACTACTCTGATTTAATATGGGATTAGATCAGAATTTGTACTTGTTTCTGGGACTGGAAACTAAGATTAATTCTAGAGGTAAGGTCCTGGAGCTATAGTTTATTATTAACATTTATACATTCAAAGCAAGTTATTTTTTGGGCTGTATCCAGCTTGTGAGATCCCAATATAGAAAAAGGAAATAGAGCAGAAATGATTCACTCCATTGCTTCCACTGTTCATTCCTTGCTGCATATTGTTTTTATACACATTTTTGCATTATTTCTTTTCATATACTTCAATTTTAAATTCTCTGGAGAACAAATTAATTATAATAGAATATGAAACTGTACCTGTGGTATATAATGCTTTTAAATAATTTACATTGTGATGAGGCTATCCACTTTTTGACAAGTTTCAGCTGATTTAGTTAATTTGTGTCCTTATTAAGCAATTTCTTAATTGCATGAAATAGTGGTATATTTAGTCATTCTAAACCAGCATAATCTGAGTTTTCTTTCTTCCTTTAATAGTTTCTCTTGTATTCACCCATGTCACTGAAAATAACGGATGTTAAACTTTTTTGAAGTTTATTTATTATTAAACTTTGGCCTTATCTTAATTTAGTCCATCTAGCATGCGTAATACAAGTAGTAACATTTTTTTCCAGTCCAGCTACATACAGTACAATAGAAACCCCAGCTGCCACAGAACTGTGATTTCAATGTCTTTAAGCATACTTCTGCTATATTTGGATGAATCATTTGCCCTCTGCAACCGATGAATGTGTGCAAAGAAGATGATCAAAGCTGATAGGGATTTGAGTTAAAAACAAGTTAAAAAAAGAAGTGATGATGTCTAGATTGTATAGCATCAATTTAGATGCCTTTGCCTATGATAAACAAAAAAGGACAGAAAATCTCAAATGTCAGCTAAAAATAGTGTGTTGTATGAAAGCCCAAAACTTGTCAAAGGGATTTCCAATTGCATTGGCCTTTTACACAATAAACAATTTTTCACAGATACTTAAGACATTCTCCACTCTTTTTCTGTTTCTGTTTCTGTTTCCATGGCTCCTCCCTTTTTCCCTATCACAACCTTACTGCTTGCCTAAAGCCAAGGATTATCTTCCATCTTCATAGGATTGCACTGTGATCTATTTTCATTTTACTTAAAAAAAAATCCTAAATAAGGAGATTAACCTGACATCATCTACTCACTGCATCATCACCCAGTGCTGTTTTCAAGCTGATCCTCACTTGGATGGCATCCTTAGAATCTAGATTTAAAAAGAGAAGAAAATTGAAAAGTATCCCAGCATTTCAAATTAATTTCCAACTCATGCTGCGTAACTGATGCTTGGGGAAGCAAGAACACATCCTTCTATTTACCAGGACTCAACTTATTTTAACCTATACGATATTATTAAGCAGTGAAGGTATGTTTGAGTCTGGGGAAACCCTAATATGATCTTATCACTAGTTTTTGCTTTGTCTACTGGCAGTTATGGTAAGGCACAATGCTATCGTACCAATATATAGGTACTTCAGGTATGTTGAAGCTCTCCATATTTTATACATTGCTCAACATGCTTAATTTTATGGAACTGTTTTGTCAGTGATACTTAATTATCCCTGACTAACAAAGATTCCAGAAAACACAGGACCAATTGTAATATCACAAACACAAAACTATTGTTTCAGCTTGGTTGCTATAGCAGCATGTTTAACATCAAAATCAGTCTCTTCTGTTTCTGCTTTTTGTAGTGTGGCCTCCAACTTCTTTATCTCTATTATTTGAATTATTTGTTCTAAAGATAGTGGAATAAAGAATGGGAAAAGACCAGTGAGAGTGAGGAGATGTTAGTGTTTCTCTTAACTTTACAAGGGAAATGCATAAGCAACAACAAGATTATGAATTGAAGTTCATTTTTTCTTTCATAGATAGAGTATTTACTATGACCAGAAAGTCAAGATAATTGTATATGAGATTTCAAAAAATAAAATGCATTATTTCAAAAAGGACAAGATGAAGTTTCCTCCTCTCCTCTTCTCTTACTGGCATTAGAACCATGCTAAGAAAGCAAAATTTCAGGAATCAACTGGCAAATTAAGAGCATAAAATTGTATTCTAGTGGTCTGGTACTGACAGTTACTCATCCAAAAGACTCCTTCCAATCAACAATGGAATATTTACAGTAGTAGAGGTCAGAATCTGGGTACCAGATCTCTAAGAATAAGACACAGATAATTTTGTGGAATCTACAAGAAGAAAAAAGGCAGCAACAATTCAATCCTGTTGAGCCCGAGGAAGTGGACAGGGATCTTGTTGTGGTTGGTTCGGCCACTTCTGTATTAGATCTATACCCCTCCTGGCTGGTCAAAGCTTCCTGGGAGGGGACGTGTGATTGAGTCCGAGTAGTGGCTAATTCTTCCTTGAAGGAGGGGTGGTTCCACCAGTTCTTAAGGAAGTGGTAGTGCACCCCCCTCTCAAGGCGCCATCACTCTACCCAACCAGTCTGGACAGTTTTCGTCCAGTTTCCAGCCTTCTTTTTCTAGAAAAGGTTGTGGAGAAGGTGGTCACACTGCAGCTTCAAAGAACTCTGGATGAAATGGATTATCTGGACCCCTTTCAGTCAGGATTCAAGCTGGGGTATGGGATGGAAATGGGATTGATTACACTCTTGGTTGACCTTTGGCAGGAGAAGGATGGGGATAGTGCATCCATCCTAGCTCTTCTTGACCTCCCAGTGGCTTTTGATACTAGCAATCATGATATCCTTCTGGACCTGCTCCAGGAGTTGGGGATGGGTGGCTTGGTGCTCTGTTGGCTCTTCTTCCTCCAGGGCCAGTCGGTGTTATAGAAGATAAGAGGTCTGATCCGTGGCCCCTACTTGTGGGGCCCCTACTTGTGGGGTACCTCAGGGCTTGGTTCTTTCTCCCTTCCTGTTTAACATCTACATAAAGTTGTTGGGTGAGATCATACAACGGTTTGGGGTGAGATATCACCAGTATGCTGATGATACTCTGCTTTTTTATCTCTACCCCACGCTGCTTGAGTGATGCCATGGACATCCTGTCCCAGTGTCCAGAGGCTGTGGGGGTCTGGATGGGGTGCAACAAACTTCAGCTCAACCCAAGCAAGACTGAGTAGCTTTGGGTGTTTTGACCTTCTGGTGCTGGGGACTTCCCATCATTGGTCTTGGATGAGGTGGCACTGCCTCAAAGAGACCCAGCGCACAATCTGGGGGTCTTCCTGGACTCACAGCTCCTGCTCAAAGAGCAGGTGGCAGCTGTGGCTAGGAGGGCCTTTGCACACCTTTGGGTTGTGTACCAGTTGTGCCTGTTCCTGGACCGGGAGGCCCTACTTACTGTCACTCATGCCCTTATCACCTCCCGTCTGAACCACTGCAATGTTCTGTACATGGGGGTGCCTTTGAAGAGCATTTGGAAGCTTCACCTGGTGCAGAATGAGGCAGCACGGGCAGTAAATATTGCCAGTTATTTGGTGCATGTTACACCTCTATTCCGTGGGCTGCATTGCCAGTGTGCTTCTGGTGCAATTCAAGGTGCTGGTTGTCACCTTTAAAGCCCTTCAGGGCTTGGGACCAGGTTACTTGAGGGACCTTTTGTCCCCAGTTGTTTCTACTCAACTGATCCGATCAGGCAGGATGGGCATGCTTCGGGTCCTGTCAGCTAAGGAGTGCCAGTTGGGGGGGGGGCCTAGAAGACGTGCCTTTTCTGCCGGAGTGCCCGCCTTATGGAACATTCTCCCTCCAGAGATCAGGATGGTCTCAACCCTGCTGGCTTTGCGTAAGTCCTTAAATACCTGGTCTGTGGCCGGGCATGGGGCCCTAAGTGTGTGCAGGGACCTGTTTTGTGCTTAATTTAGTCATTATGATAGGTGCTTTATTCTCGGCTGCTATGTATTCTAATGTTTGCATTATTTTAATTGTTTTTATTTTAAAAATTTTGTTCACTGCCCACAGTCACTTGGTGAGATGGGCAGCCATACAAATAAAATAAAATAAATTTGCAACAAGCAGCAATGTTTAATATCAGTACCAAATCTGGGAATTTAATTAACCAAAAACAATAAAAATATTGAAAAGTAATTATTCCCAGATCTAGAAAAATATAATGAAAGATATTTTAAGATTAAAAAATATGTTCATCTTATTTTCATCTGTTTTGGCTGAGAAGAATATCAACAGTAAATAAGAGTATCTTTCCAAAGCTTAACTTCTTATTCTAAATTATGCCAATAAGAATGGCAAAAAGACATTGAATCAGTGGCACAAATACTGTATCTAATTTAATTTGTTCAAATAAAAGACTGAGGTTCAAACTCTGGATTCTAAAAGATGCAAAAGAATGAGGTAGGCTAACTGCAGCAAATTTTAAGATATACCATCAAGTTAGTTGTTTGAGTTGGATTACAGTGGGATTATACTATATAAGCACTCAGCCGGATTACCTCTATGGGAGGAACAACACTCCAAAAGTCCTGTATAAATATCTTTGGTCTTATACAAATAGGACTTTCCAATGTGTATAAGATGATTTGATTATATATAGCTTATTAAAAGTATGGGACAAATATAAAAGAAAAATAAGCCAAGGTTTATTGTCTCTTGCTTCATATTAAAGTGGAGAGAGAGCAATTCATATAAATTGCAAGATCTAACCTTTAATAAAACAAGGATGAAATCTTTTGAGGCTCTCTCCCTAGAATGATAGAAAAGGCTCTTTGGTTTCAGTTCAAATAAGCATAGTTCAAAAGGAAGTACAAAAACAAGACCTGACAGAACTTGACATGCTTGTAGCACAAAACTCAGATAATCTATTGGGGCTTATATATAAGCTGTTAATAACGTGACTCAGAAACTGAACAAGTCAAAGATTACATGAGTAAATGGATGTGATATTTAAACCCAGAGAAAACTGGTACAAGATGCTTTTTTGATGGTATATTATTCCAGTGTTGATTGGCAAAATAGACAATATATACACAAAAAATCCTGGAAATGTAATAATCAGGTTGGATCCTTTTTTTCCTGCCTATTGGTGACAATGTAACAAAATCCAGCTATTCTGGAAGATGATTGAATGAAAAGAATGCAACAAATTTTAAATAAGGACTTTCTTTTCTTGCTAGCTGTTTTTCTGTTATGCATCACTAAGCCTTATATTTCTAAAAAAGCATATTGAGTTACCTATGTACATGATAACAGTTGCTAGAATACTTTATGCTTTCCACTGGGAATTACACCCAATTCCTTCATTAGAGGACTGACAGACCAAGCTCTGAGAATACGCATTAATGTCAAAAACAAATTCATATTTTTTTAATAAATAAGTCTGATACCTAACTTTATTTGGAAACCATTTATAGATTACAATTCTGCATATAGATTTCTGCAACATCTGAAGTTTGGTTTCTCTTAACATAAGTTCTTAAATTCTCTTTGATCAGAATTTAAAGAACGGACTGTTTCAGATTGGCTAAAAATTGTTATAGATTGTTATTTATTTATTAATCATTTTTAAAAGAATGGGAAGAAGAGAACTAACAAGGGAAAGTAGGGGGGAAAAAGGAAAAATAATTGATGCAGAAATATCAGTAAGTGGGCAAAGGAGTTACCAAGATTGTACAGTTAGTGCTCAGTATATAATTGATAAAAAATTAAGCATTAAAAAACAAAGTATATTGAATTATTATGAGAAAGGATTTGAATCTCTGAGCTGAGAACCAAAAATTCTTATCATTACTACTGATGATTATTATTTTGATTGTTTTTTTAATCTTTGACCTGAATCTAATAATAGCTTTTAAAGTGCCAAATTGATATATGATTATCTTCACATACTGTCTTAATGCAATATTACTAGCAGAATAACAGAGGAAAACTTTTATTTTTTTTTTCTTAACAGTTTGTCTAATTTTTACAGTTTGTAAATCCCTCTTTCATTTTCTTTTCTTCTTTACCCCCCCCCACCCATTTCTATCCTTAAGTATCTTTAAAAATAAAATAAAGATTAAAAAATGAATCAAAATAGAAAGCTATGCGATAAGGCTTATTACACTGAGCATTCTTCCAACCACCTAATTAATTTAGGCTGAAGTTGTAAATGACTGTCCATCACAGATTTCCAGCTGAGTAGCACATTATTTTATTTATTTGTTTAAATAAATAAATAAGTAAATAAATAAATAACTTAAAATTACTAATGTATACTTCAAAATATTCTTATTTACAATTCAAAATGCTACTGAAATTCTTGTTTTGTTTTGTTTTTTCAGTTCTTTCCCTGGAATGGTCAAAGAACAGCACCAGTAGAGAAGGATGCAAAAAAAAAAAAGTGACATATATATTACACCATACAACAAAACCTACATGGAGTCCAGTTTGTATTCCAACCAACACTTTCATCACTGTTGTTTTTCTCCAGCCACTTTAATAAGGGATCAAAGTAGTGAAGAAATGGTGCTGCGTCCAACTTTTGGCTTCCAGTAATACTTTGTAAAGCCTTTGTCCAAGGCTGAGAGCTACCCAAAGCAAGCATCTTCCTATATGAAGAAAGACATATGAAGTTTTACTCATCAGTCAGACACACAGTGCTAAGGGAAGACAAAGATTACTAAATTCAAGAAGAATAGCTGTATGTGAGTTATAATCAGCACCAGCGAAGACTGGGACAAATGGCTTGATTGAATAGGGTAATAGAATTCAACTGTTACAGTTAAACAGAGGCCAGATTTTCTGTTGTCCCTGCCTGAAGCTAGAGTGAAAAGTAGTCTCCTTGGAACACAGAAAACTCTTAAAAATAGACCACAGAACATGGAACAGAACTTCCTCTAGGCAATTGCTGTTACAGCATAAATGCAATCTCCATATAATATGACGTATCTCTAAAATCCATAAGAACTGTATAAGGTCACCTGAATTATTGAGAGATTCCCTTTAGATTTTGGGGTTCATATGGCTGTTAACAGTTGTTTTTCTCCCATCCAGAATCTAAACCTATATTAGCCTGTTTGGAACTTAAACAATTGGGAGGGGAATTTGACAGTGACGGAAAGAGATGAGAGAGACTTAATTTCCATCTTATCATCGGTTTCTTCTCACTTGGCAGTTGAGCCCTTCTGGCTCTATATTCTGCAAATAAAAAGCAGCGGATGGATTTTACAGCAGAGGAAGACCAACAGTATTTGCAATGCTATCTGGAGCCCACAGTAAGAATTCATTTCACTACAGCTATTCAAATGATGAACAGTGCAGCGAGTCCTTGGTTACCTCAAGATCTGTCCAGCAGCTTTAGAATTAGAAATGTCACATTTGTAAAGTTCCCCTGTGTGACCAGCAGCTTTGCAAAGTGCCTCTTGAAACTGGAACTGATAAATGGTCCTTGTATAATATCTAGAAAAGGGAAAAGGAGGGGAGAAACCAACTTACTGATGAATACAGTAACGATACCAATGTTTTATAAAGTTAGTTTTCTAGAAGCAATATTAAAATGCCGATCATATTGAGTTAGCTCGTTCAGTGTATCTGCTTACGACATGTTACTGTAATTCCCATTGTTGTTTTGTCAGGAGAGACTACAGCTGTGCAACGCTTTAAAGTCGTGCTTCAATTTGGGGAATTCAAAAAGAAATTGAAATTCTTTGTAACAAAAACAATAAACGCAAAAGAGTAAATAAGAGTTAGAAGTCACACCTTATGAAAGAGTAGTCATTGGCAACATGAAACAGAGCAGCAGGATCACAATATTCCTCATTGTGAGGCAACGGTTCCACAACCCCAACCATCTCCTGCCTGCACAGAGAAATGGCTCCATTAGAATTTGAGAAGGAAGCAAGATTTCAAGTCAGACTCTTGGGTGTATTAAGAATTCAACTGCTAAAAAAATTCTCAATGTATTATAAGAGCATTTGCCATGGTAATACACATACAGTGAATAAATCCCTCAAATAAAAGAAAAGAATTGTGCTCAGGGCAGACATATCAAGTACATTCACCCTCCTGATAATGTAATAGCTTGAATCAGAGCCTTGTTTTGAACGGCCCTTGTAAGGAACAAAGGCAGATCCTGAAAGTAGGCTTGAATGTTGAGGGGCTTAGAATGAAGGGCTTTTTCAGTGTTCCTAAGCCTGTTTCCTTTCTGTCACTCTTTCTGTCTGCCCTTCCGTAAATTAAGAGTTATTGTGTCTTTGGAAGTTGGGGAGGGAGTAGATAAAGGGATGGGTGCTTGCTCTGATGGGAAAATAACTGAGACTGGCATATCCTAGAGTTTCAAAGTGTTGCAGTAATCCTTCTCTCAGAAAGGATAGAGCATCTCATCCCTTAGGGTGGGCTCAGCCTTCTGCTTGCTACTGGATGACCCTTTTTTTTAACTCTCCAAGAATAGGAGGAGACATGCCCAAGTGATATCACCAGAGACTACAGGAGGGTCCTTGTCCTTTATTTCTTTATTTACTAAACACATTTATATGGCCACCCTTCTCACTAAATGTGGCTCTGGTTGGCATACAACCAGCCGTTAAAACAATATCACAACTATTAAAACACTTTAAAAAATAAAGAAAAACAAGATCAATAAGATAAAGAAAAACAAGATTGCAGGAGAACATCCATCTAAACACAATATAACTATCATGCAACCATGGGATCCCCAAGGTTGCTGGAAGGACCACGTATTCAGGGCCTTCCTAAAGGCTAACAGGGATGGGACTAACCTTGGGGGGATGATATTCCAGAGGGTGGGAGCCACTGCAGAAAAGGCACATTGGGTCCTGTCAGATGGAACTCTTTAGCAGACAGGACCCACAAGATACCCCTCCTGCTAGCCCTGATGGGATGGATGGATAGAAAGAGGAAGTCCCTCAAATAACCTGGATCCATGCCATGTAGGGCTTTAAAAGTCAAAACCAGCACCTTGAATTGCACTTGGAAGCAGACTGGCAGCCAATGCAGCTCATGAAGTAGAGGTGTAACATGTGCCATCCTAGAGGTACACATAACTAACTGTCCATGCAGCCACATTCTGCACCAGTTGAAGCTTCCAGCTACTCTTCAAGGGCAGCCCCATGTAGAGTGCATTAAAGTAATCCACTCTGGAGGTGACCAAGGTGTGAGTGACTGTGAGTAGAGCTTCATGGTCCAGGAAATGGCACAACTGGTGTACAACCTGAAGCTGTGCAAAGGCCCTCCTAGTCACAATTGCCACCTGCTCCTCGAGCAGGGGTCGTGAGTCTATAAAGACTCCCCAGATTGAGCACTGGGTCTGTCTGGGGTAGTGCTACCCTATTCAGAACCAAAGATGGTAAAGTCCCAGATCCAGAAGGCCCAAAATCCCAAAGCTACTCGGTCTTGCCAAGGTTCAGTTTAAGCATGTTGTTCCCCATCCAGACCCCCACAGCTTCCAGGCACCGGGATAAGACATCAACAGCATTGCTTAATTTGCCAGGGGTGGAGATGTATATTTGGGTATCATTGGCATACTGATGATACTTCACCCCATAGTGACGGATGATCTCATCCAGTGGCTTTATGTAAATATTAAATAGGAGTGGAGAAAGCACTGAACTCTGCAACACTCAACATAGTAGGGGCCACAGGTGGGACTTCTCACTTCCAATCAGCTCCAGCTGGTACCAGTCCCATAGGGAAGAATAGAACCAGCCCATTACTGTGCCGCCCACTTCCAACCCACAGAGCTGATCCAGAAGGATATCATGGTTGATGGTATCAAAGGCTGCCAAGAAGTCAAGGAGAGCAAAGACAGATGCTCTACCCTGTCCCACTCCTACCAGAGATCATCCAAAAGCATGACCAATGCCATTTCCATCCCATGCCCAGGACTGAATCCTGACTGAAAGGGGTCCAAATAATCTGCTTCCCACTGAAGCTGCTGTGAACCACCTTCTCCACAACCTTCCCTAAAAAAAGGGAGGTTCAATACCGGATGAAAATTGTCCACTGTGGTGGGATCCACCAATGGGTTCTTGAGGATGGGGTGGACCAAAGCCTCCATAAAGAATGCTGGAATGACTCCTCCTCTCAAGGATGAATTAACGAAGTCTAACAGAGACTCAGTATATCTTAGTACATCTATTTTACACCTAAAATACTGCTATATTCAAGGCTATCATCATAGGGTATTTGAGACTCCAGGCCACACATGACTGGTTTTCTATCCCTGTTCTATGGTATAACAAGAGTATTCTACCTAGAGAGCATGTTTTAGCAAATGTCTTGTAAGACCGATTAAGAAAAAGAGAACAAATGTACTTTCAATAAGAACTCTTTCCATTTTTATTTATTTATTTATTTGATTTCTATAGCCGCCCATCTCAACAAGTGACTCTTGTACTACTAATAAATATTTACTGAGCTAAAACATCTCAGCATTCCAGAAATGTTTCATACCTTCTTCTAACTGTGTCTTTTACTTACTTCAGTTCCCACCATTTCTTCATCCATTGATCTTTAGGGATTTCCTCAGCAAATACCATCCATCGCCATTTCTCCAGCATGTACGTGAAAGGCATTGTTCCGACAATAGTGAGGGCCTGTTTGAGCAGAAAATTTATATCCGTTTCTGGAAAAGAACAACATTAATTGAAAGGATTAAGTAGAAGTTCTGTGTTGCTGAAATTGCAACCCTAAAAATAAACATTGGCAACATCATACAAAGTAATTTTTCAGAAAGTTGATACTGTCCCTTATCATTGCAAGTAGAGGGAGTTTTACATGAAAAGCATTCTTTCATATATTCTTAAATTCTTACATTAGAAAGGTTCTGTTAAAGGAGACAAAAAGACGATTTAATAATCTGGTAGAACAGTGTTTCTCAACTTTAAGATGGGGAATTCTGGCTGTTGAAGTCCACACATCTTAAAGTTGCTAAGGTTGAGAAATCCTGCAGTAGAAGCTAGCTAATTTATTTCAAATGATTCACAAAAGAAGCAATGCTAATTACATAATTTCTCTAGAAACCTGCTGTTCCATCCTCACCTATTTCTATCAGTACTCTCTGTATGATAATAACATTTTGAACAATTATCGTTCTTAAACTGGCCATAGCTGGCAGCATGCTCTGCTATCTCACCTGAATCTTCTTGAAAGGTAGGTTCTAGTAAGCCAAGGGATTTCAAATACTTTGGAGTAGCTGCAGAAAGTGACATGATCTCCCCAACAGCTTCATGGAATCCTTCATTGGCCCCATTTCTTAGCAGAAAAGGTTGATCCGAATAGGCCATATCATATTCAATATGGCCCATTTCATGGTGTGCTGTCAGAAAGTCGTCCATATTTATTTTCGTGCACATCTTGATCCTACCAATGAATGCAATTCAGGCAGAGATTATAACGGGAAAGACTGAATAGTGCTTTGACCATGGTTGCTGCATAGTCTTTAATGCGCCTAGGTTAATTAAGCTCCTAAATTGACCCTATGCCCAACTTATGAGGAAGGTGGATTTCTGGTTTAACTGAGGTAGGGCCCTTCCATGGTAGTGCCTGAGACAGAGGGGAAAGATCATTTCCTTAGTCTTACTATTTATTTATTTATATTTCAAATTTGGACACCACCCATCTCATGAGGAAGTGACTCTGGACTGTTTACAATAAAAACACAAATATTAATTAAAATACAATAAAATAGTATAAAATACAATAAAATCAAATACATACATTAATAATAATATCTTCCAAGGTGCCGGTGGTAGAAAAAATATTAACATATGGCAGCATGTTAATGCCATACGTTAAGGTGCTAGCCACCCCCAGGGTTGGTTGCCTCTTTTGTCGCCCCATGCAAGTTGGCAAAGCCAGGTCTTGACTGCTTTCCAGAAGGTCAAGAGAGTAGGGGCCTGCCTCACCTCTGGGGGGAGGGTATTCCATAGAGCAGGGACCATGGCAGAGAAGGCTCTACTTCTGGGCCTCGCCAGTCGACATTCTTTCATCTACAGGGTCTGCAGCATACCCTCTCTGCTTGACCAGGTAGGACAGGTTGATATAATGGGGGTGAGACAGTCCCTCAGGGAACCCAGTCCCATGGCATGTAGGGCTTTAAAGATGATAACCAACACCTTGAATTGGACCTGGAAGCAAACTGGCACCCAATGCAGCTCGCGCAGCGAAGGTGTAACATGTGCGATCTTTGAGACACCCAAAATTGCCTGCGTGGCTGCATTTTGAACCAGTTGTAGCTTCCAGATACTCTTTAAGGGTAGCCCCATGTAAAGCGCATTGCAATAGTCTATATGGGAGATGATTAGGGCATGAGTAACTGATTGGAGAGCCTCCTGATCCAGGAAAGGGCATAACTGGTGCACAACATGTAGTTGAGCAAAGGCCCTCCTGGCCACGACTGCCACCTGCTCTTTGAACGGGAGTCATGAGTGCAGGAGGACCCCCAGATTACGCACCAGGTCTGTCTGGGGTAACGCTACCCCATCCAGAACCAGATGGTAAGCTTCCGTATACAGAGGAGCCCCCAACCCACAGCCACTCCATCTTACCAGGGTTCAGCTGAAGCCGGTTGTTTCCCATCCAGACTATAATGGTGACCCAGACAGGAGTAATAGAACAGAGAGCCAATCATTTCTTTATAGGTATAGTCAGATCTCAGGTACAGAGGGTGCACAGGGTATACCAGTGAATTTTATGTTTAGGGGTCTCCATGTTGCACCAGGATTCCTTTCCCACTTGCTCTCTCTTTTTATTTATTTATTTATTTATTTATTTATTTATTTATTTATGTATTTATTTATTTATTTATTTATTTGAATGTATAAAGCTGTCCAACTCCAACAGATTCTGGGTGGACTCTGCTTTTCTGTGTAGTGATATGTTAGCTGTTTCAATTTTGCATTTGGGCAGTTAAGTGAGATCCATGTCTTGAGGGAACCTCCTTGAAACTTTGTAACCCAGAATATAGGGAAGTCCTCATATGGGACGTGGTAGTAACAAAAGTGCAAGTCCACAGCTCAGCTCAGAGCCTGGCCGAGATTTCTCTTTTTAGAGCGGCAAGGGATGGAGAAAAACCCAGCCATTCTCTGAAGTTCTCCTACCATGTGGAATGAAAAGTCCAATCTTAAAAAAACCCTTATAAAAATGTCACCAATAAAGTGATGGCCAACACATTCCTATCAATCCAATCACAGAATCCAATTTTCCTTTCAAGAACTCATTTTCTGGTATGCTACAGACAATGTTGCAGGAGCAAGTAATTTTATTAATAAAACTAACTTTTCTAGAGGAATTTTGAGAGAAAACTCTGATTTCAGATTTCTAGATAAGGTTTCTACTCTGCAAACTCACTCTTGCTGCACTCACTCTCTCATTTGCAACTCTGTGTTGAGTTCAGAACATCGTTCAGAGGCAAGTTTATGTTACAAACTGGAGCAGAACAACAAACAATTTATGTATCATTTAGTTTAACATTCAGCAAACAGATTGTAAATTGGAAAATATTTACCTCATTCTACTCCCAATAGTGTTCTGTTATATACAGCACTGATATGCTGGTTTTATCATGCAATAAACTTTATTGCTAAATGTATCCAGATTATGAAACTGGATGTCACAACTTTACTGCTCGCTGTTATATTTGGAATTACCACTTTGTTCTTTTACTTACAGAATGGATGTAAATTCTGTCTGTGACTGAATAGAGAAAGAATCTTAAGCTTTTGGTACCTGTAGTCTTTTTTCCCCATATCCCAAGCTGTGGGATGGCAAACAACTTTCCTGCCATCTTTAGGTTCCTCAAGCATTGAATTTTTCCAGAAACCTTCAGTCATATTGAAGAGATCAATTGAGACAAAAAAATGTTCAGCAGCTTTAAATATTGAGTCTACCGTCCATTTCTGAAAAAGATTAAGATTAGAATATTGATATAGCAGTTTGTAAGCCCAACAAATTCCACTCCCAAGAGGGATGGCAGGTCCCTTAAGTGCAGCTATAGAGGTAGCCATGAAGGAGATGAGATGCTGGGATGTCTTCTGCCATTTTGGGGTGATCTAGAAACTGTGTTCAGGGAATATGGAAAAGGAGGCCAATCATCTCCCAAAGAAACTAGGATTAGACACAGGCAAACCTCAGGCCAGCAGCTTCAGCTCCAGTCTATACTTAGAAAATATAAAAGGGGCTCCCCATTGTCCATTCAATAGATATTGGGTTTCTCTACCCACCTGTTCCTTTATTGTTCATTTAGAATTCTCAGTTCACATCTAGATGGAACAAAGCCTGACAATTTCCCCTTTCCCCCCCTCCCAGAAAATGCCAGGGAAGAGTTATTCAATTAGCATGCATCGTAACAGGTCCTGACCTTATGCTCTTTCAGATACTGTAACAAACGAAGTTGTGGCCAGTACTTTCCACCTAGTTAGGCAAACTGCCATCTCTATCTTCCCTTCCCTTCCTTAGTTCCATGAACATGTCAAGGAATGCTGCTGAAATTATGCTTTTTGCCCTGCATTTTCTGTGGTTGCTTTTTAGAACTATACTTTGAAAAGAAAAACGCATGAAGCAGTGTCTAGGTTGAGCTCATCTGATAAATTAACAATCTGGGAATACTGATACTTATTTTGGAAATCCATGACTTTTCTAAAAAGTAATCAAAGCAGTAAGCCCACACCTGCAGAACATAAAGAAACAGAAATATAAGGAAATGGAGATTCAACACAGAAAACATCTTATTCCATCCATTTTTACCACGTAAACATCTACAACTCTTCTATAAATCTTGGAGTCCCCCAAGCCTGCTGATACTTCTGTCCTGTGTACAAGTGGTGTATTTTGGTGGTATATGCTATTTTGCTGGTATTTGCAGTAGTATTGAGAGAGCTATGTGTGAGATTTATTTATCCTTAAGTGACCTTATAATTAATTAAACATTTTTGGGGGACAGGGTTAAAAAACATGGTATAAAATAATGTATGCAAATTACACTGAAATGGTTTTCGCTTATTTAGTTGACTACCTGTCAATTGTCTTACCTTCTCCACCATTGCAGAGGTTACGTCAATGTTTGGTTTATTTGGATAGGGCACCATTAAAGGATATAAATTTGTCCAAAATCTACCCCACATGTCACCTTCAACAGAAAAATTAGAATTACAAATAAAAACAAAACAATGAATCATAGCTGTAGTTTTTGAAAGCAAAATATGGCTGGATTTTGTCATCTTAACGAGCCAAGTACAGATTCTTTTACTGTACTGTATTTCCACACTGAAGTGAATGAAACAGACATTCCAGATCAGGACTAAAGAACTGAAACCTTCCTATTCCTAATACTAAAATACTAATCTGGGTCAGATCCTCATCTAAGAGTAGAACTCTATATGGTATTTATTAAATGTAACATCTGGTTTGATGATCAGGAGCAGACTATATTACGAAAAATTGAAGATGCACACTAGTCAGGAAGCTAAGCAAAACAAAGCAAAACAACTTAAATAAAATCAACATATTGGCAGGAAACTTCTGATTTACCCAATACTATGACGTTTGGTGCTTTTATTGATGGAACTATATTATATGCAGAATCTTATTCCCAAACTCTCAGGATAAAATACTACTAATGGGAAAAACTAATTCAATCCATAATATTTCCTTGATCGAATTCAGCACAAAATATCATATAGGACATCCAATTCCTCCCCCCACTTTTTTTTAAGGTTAATTACTTTATTTAAAAAATTATGCTAATTCATAGTCAGTAAATTCTGACTTCCATTTTGTCAGTAACATTACTGGGTAGTGTCCAGGTTGAAGGGCTACCAAATGTGTTTGTGGTGGAAACCAAAGGTTAGGAACTAGCTGTCATTATTTAAAAATAAGCAGCTTCTGTTCATTGATGTATCTATGTCAGTGAATATACGCCCGTATGTTTTTGCTTCTTTTTTCTTTAGCTTTTCTCTTCTTATTTTCATTCATTTTTTAAATACTTAGTTAATAAATAAAAAAGAAAAAGAAAATATTTTAAAAAATGGTAAAACATCTCATCTGCTGCTGAATGGAAGAAGTAGAAGTAAATAATGTGGTGATGAAAATCGAAAGCTGTCTTCAAACGAGGACAGAATTCCTCAAGGAGGGGTGCATGTATAAGCATAAGGCTAGGAATATGCCATTGTGTGGTTGTAGCCTGCATGCCAGACACAGAATACACATCCACATGAAAGAGAATTGCTCTTTGTCATGTATGCAGAGAGTCAGATAGCCCAACCCCTCCCTTTGCTATAGAGAGAAAAATGCAAATTGTTTTAAAACTAGAGACAGAAGCCAGTGGACCAGGGTTGGGAAAAGCATAGAGATAACATCATTCCCCACCATGATTATAGTTTGAAATTTCTAAGAAGCTGGAACATCCAGGAAAACTGAAGCAGAATTCTTGATGCTTCAGGTATTTCTATCTCTGAAGAAAAGGGTTTAAAAGTTTGTGATATCAAGGGGAATGTCATTCCAGAGAATGGGGTCAGTGATTGATAGACAAATTATAAATCAATCTCCAATTATTGGTCCTCTAAAGGAAACCAAACCCAGTGAACACCATCCAGGACTCTGTAGTATACAGAGCTCATAACAATATGTAAAGTGTCTTGGTCTGTTCAAAAAATGTAGCTTGTAAAGCAGCATTTTCATACCAAGTAAATGAGCAGGAAGAGATCCTTTGGGGTTAATGAGCCCTGGGCCATAGCGTTTGTACAGATGGCGCCGTACGTAAGCATGTAGATGCTCATACAAAGGCTTTATCTGAAAAACAACAACATAGAGAAAGGCATTTAATTAATGGAAAATCATGATTATTTTATTAATTCTTTCATTCTTGAAAAAATTATTGAAAAAATTATTCTGCTCCTAAATAAATAAAGAGGTTGCTTATTGTGAAATATGGTGAATGGCTCATGGTCTTCCTGTACATGAACCTGGCTTTCTTTGATCTAAGACCTACTGGTATCATCAGTTACAAACTCTATTATGCTGTTAATGAAACCATAAGAAATATATGTTGTAAAAACCTCTGGTATATCTATAATCTACAAAGACATGCCACTAGGTGGTGATAATGGATTTTTTTTCAATGGTGACACCAATGTTAAACCGTTGTTTCACCATAGTCTGCATCTGTCAAATTTACCTCCTTTTCTAGTCCCAGCCCATGCTAAAGAGAGTGACTAGTGGATGTTTTCTTGCTGGCTGGAAACAATGCAAGGTGATGGAAACAAAGCCTGAGAAATCCACCAGTCTCCGCTCTTAATGTATCATGGACATTGTAAATAAGAACCGCCCCAATGGCCAATTGTCACCACTGTGACCATCACGAGTGGTGACAGTAAATTTTATGCTGGTATACTGTTTTCCCAGCTCAAAGACTGGTGGATTTATTTATATACCATTTATTTATTTATTCATCAACTTGTATGGTGCCACACTGCCCCCTCCTCCATATCTGCCCCCTTGAGAAGTTTTGTGTATTGCCATGAAAATAGTTTTGCCTTAGTATAGTAAAGCAAAACATTTTATGTCTGAAGCCAAATCTTACTTCTTGAAATGTGTTTTCCACATCAGTCATCAGCTCTGCACGTTTGTATTGATACTCTGGTGGAGAATCTACTTCATAATTTGCTCTCCAATAATCTCCATAGTCAGCATAGCCTAAAAAACAAAGTTCTTCTGTCACTCATCATATCAGATTAAAGCACATCTCACAGGTTCTGGAACAGTGCAGCTTCAAATTAAAACTGGTCATGCTAAAATACAAGGATGCATAACGGTAAGCTGATGGGCTTTTATAGAAGGTAGTCCAACACATCTGGAAGGGGAAGGCTATTGTCATAAAGAATAGTTTTCTTTAACCTGGATGCTCTCTAGACTTCAACTCCTAGAATTCTCCAGCCACTGTGGCGATTGCTGACAATTCTAGGAGTTGAAATCCACACAACTGGAGTGCATCCAGGTTGGGGAAATTGATCAGTGATTATCTTACCATCTCACCTTGTGATATTAATAGGGGAGGAGGAACAAGCATAGAGAATGAAGCATTGTTTATGCTAATAATTCATAGTTAATGTTATACATCAGACCGAAAAAGTGAAAAGTAATGGTGAGTAGTTAACACCATTATCTTAGAAATGTTTCATTACATTCAAATTCTGCAAGCTACAAAAAGAAAGAAATATTTCCACTTTCTAAGTCTCTCTCCTACTTCAGAAGGGGGAATATTCTCAATCCTTGGGATGCTGAATAGGCTGCAACCTCTAGAGCAGTGTTTTTCAACCTTGGCAACTTTAATACGTCTGGAGTTGGCTGGCTGGGGAATTCTGGGAGTTGAAGTCCAGACGTATTAAAGTTCCCAAGGTTGAAAAATACTGCTCTATAGGATATCTGACAGTTTAACAAAACTGAATGGTGGACTATTGCTGAATGAGCATCCATGAGCCTCCACAGCAGGCCATAAATTTGTCAAAATAATGAAATGTGCATAACTCCATCCTTTATGTACTTGCATGCAACTTCACAATGCAGGTACAAAAAATCATTACACATATTAATTTGACTTTGAGATGTAATATTTGTGGAGCTCCATACTCTTTTTGAAGTGTATACCTCTTACATAGGAAGTGATGACTGGACAACAGAAATGGATGTTCCACGTCCTTGTTGAAAGGAAACTTGTTCTTCAATATCTGGAAGATGTATTTTTTACCCTTTTTTTAACTCAGTGTATTGAATATCTGATGTTACTTGCAGTTTATGAACAGGTTGTTTAGAGATGTAAATTATGTATGAAGTATTATAATGAAATTCAGCTTTCATTTATTGACACTCTTGTGTATACAGTGGTACCTCAGGTTACGAACACCTCTGTTAACGAACTTTTCGGGTTACGACCAGCTCCGGCTGTAAAAATTTACCTCGGTTTGCGAACTCCGCCTCGGGGTACGAACGGGATACGCGGCCATTTCCCCTCCCGTGACACGGTCCGCGGCCATTTTTCCACCCCTGACACGTGGTCCGCGGCCATTTTTCCCCCCCTGACACGTGGTCCGCGGCCATTTTTACGCCCCTGACACGTGGTCATAGGGAGGGGGACTCT